CAAGCAAGCAAGCAAGCAAGCAAGCAAGCAAGCAAGCAAGCAAGCAAACGACAAAACAACCAAACAAACCAAGAAACCAACCAACCAACCAACAAAGAAAGCCAGCAACCAACCAACCAACCAACCAACCAACCAAGCAACCAAGCAACCAACCAAGCAACAAACCAAGCAACCAACCAACCAACCAACCAACCAACCAACCAAACAAACAAACAAACAAAAAAACAACAACAACAGCAACGGCAACAGCAACGACAACAACAAGTAGCTGTTGGAACTCAGGACCACTACGATGAGCTCGAGCTCAGCTGTGAGACTGATTTTCGCCTACAAGTACGGTGTGTCCTCGGTCAAAACCCATGTTCCCAACATTTGGTTGTTCCCCGCTCCTACTAGATGGACTATAGTTGGTGTTTCCAAGTGTTTCAATTTAATCATCACATACACTAAAACTTCAAGCACCAGGTGAGCAGCTCTCAAGTCGATGTGATTTCTCCCGATCTGCGCGCGGCGCAAATGATCAACGCGCCGTGCGTCCGTCGCTTGTCGCGAAGGCACCTGGGTGACTGGCCGTGAGTTCCACTTGGATGCCCAAGAAAATGGAATTGCCTCGGGTGGATGTGCAGCGGGTCGGTCACAGTGCGGATGTGCAGCGGGTCAGTCACAGTGCAGGTCAAAAGGGGGGTAAACGAACGGGGGCCCCATGGTCCGAGGTACGAGTTCCGGGTCGACTCCAGGTATAGATGCTTTGAGGATCTTAAATTAAGTTCTGTTTCTTCAGCAAGCCGCATAAAGACCAAGTGCTTGTGAGAGTAGGCAGAATATGAAACACATAGTGTTACATTCCTGCATATTTGGAATTTGCACTATTGTATTGCCCTGTTGTGATCACAAGTGTTGCAAGTTGCATGACTCCAACGTACCTTAGAAAATGGGACATGATCCTAGAAAGGCTGGTACTGGTGGTACCCATGTTCCGAGGTACTTTGAGAGTACAGGAGTACAGGTAGTGATGCTTATACAATGGGAAAGCATCCCCCTTGACATCCCTTTGAGGCTAGAGCAGGACCCTCCAACATCACGATCACTTTAAAAACTCCCCCAAAGCCTCCCTCCCTTGCTTCGCTTGGCGGTCCATATCAGCAATCCTGGGATGCTTGATGTTCCCCCATAGGTAATGCCTGTGTGCCAGAAGGTTAGTTATACCTGGACCCGACTTCATTTACCCTTTGAACGTGGGACATGCATGGTCCTGTGGACCTGTGGACTCCTATAACAACGGTTACGACTGTAGTCGTCTTCCAGGGTACGAACTGAGTGAGGCTCAATATAGGTTGGGTATGGTTGGGTATATCCAATTCCCGGTAAACGTGGATGATTGTTAGTAAAGAAATTGCTCAAAAATACGTATACTCTATTAGCATCTTTTAGCGACTGTTCTTGGTTTACTGGCACACTTCCCTGATCAGGTACATTAGGTGTAAACCACCAAGTAACCTAAGTACGTGGCGATTCCCAGTATTTACGTCAAACAGACCCGCCAGAAACTCGCTCCGTCGCTCCAAAAAGAAGCAACCCTGGGAGTACTCTTCCGTCGCCATGGGGCTGATGATGACAAATCCAAAGAAGGCTTCGAACCTCAAGGACACATATCATGTACCTAGCACTTCCTGTCTGGGTGCCCCTTTTTATGAGGCCTGTAAGTAAGGTAGGGTAGTCTAGCAAGGACACCCAGACAGGATGACCCTGGTATAAAGATGTCGATGTAGAGATGTATATTTCAACCCCTCTTCATTTTTGAAGGCCTCCCATATTCATGTATTGGGTGCCTCCATATAAAAAAACTGGATTACAAAGCCTCTTCATGTTATTAATCGTCTGCAGACAGTCTGCAATACTCAGACCTCGTTACCTCGTTTGGTCAAACACTCGAGCCTTTCGAGTTGGGACGGCAATCTCAGTTGCAGCTGCTCAAGGAACGTTTGAAGGCTGCGTTTATATCACCCCCAAGCACTCGATGTAGAATATACCTACATTGACCCGATTTCAAGGACGCCAACTGAGCAAAAAAAAACAGTCCCATGGCGTGTCTGGTACCTGCATCCTATCGCAAACAAACCTGGTACGCTGACACTGAGGTCTATCCACAACGCCGCAAGATTCAGAAAGGTGAATACATCCTTTGGGCCCCAAAATACCTTTGGCCAAGCTCTACAGAAAAATCAGCCAATTCTTTGCTCAACCATTGGCTCTAGTCATTGGCACGTTCTTCCCGGCCAGGGCCAAATTGGGGGTGTCTATGGAAAACATGCCTCAAGAAGCATTCGATATGAACGCAAAACCTGTGTAGTGGAAACTTCACTGACTCGTTGTGTTCTCAGGCATACAGCAACTGTCTCAAGTAAGCTAGGTTTGAGTCAGGATCTTGACTCAAAAATACGAGTCTATTTCATGGGCTTTTCGCCAGGACAGGAACACATGGGGTCAGAGGGGCGCAGAACTGTTTGGTTCTTAATCTTCCATGTACCAAGGCATATCCATCGCCATCGGCATATGCTACTAAGGCACATCCATGAGAAGACATAAGGGTACAGGTAGCGTTGCCAGGCGAATGGCAAGGGAGGAACCGGATCGCCTGCAGCGTCATCATCGGTAGCCATAGATGTCAACATTATGTTATATAACCTGTTTGATCCATTTCGCAGTTTGCTTGTGCTTTTGTTTGAGAAGGAAAGCCAATTTTTCCACCCAAAAAGACACAACGTCGTTGGCGCCGAAAAAGCCAGCGAACCCACTCGTAGGTGCCTAAGAAGTGTGGGTGAAATCAATGGGCAAGAAGTTGGGATTTTGTTCCCGATGGTTAGGTTAGGCCTTTCTCAAACATATATAGTGATCATCTATTGCCAATTGTTACTGGTAATGGAAAACACCCTAAGAAGAAGTGACTCAGGACCGTGTTGAGCTTCCTTCAGTTGGATCAGGCAAAATGACAATCTTTGAATGGGGGCATCCAGCAAGTGGGAGCCATACACCAGTTAAGTCTCTGAAAGTCTGCAAGTCGGCTTTTGGTCGAAGTGCAGGTTGCGACCTGTAGATTCAGGTTCAGGCACACAAATATCATGTCTATAGTATATAGGACTCTGCAATGTGTTTCTTTCCCCCATCCACGAAGCTATCCCAAGCGGAAACACCTGCCAGAAACAGCACATCCGGACCTCCAAATACCTCTGTTTCGGTTCAGAAAGTCGAAAACTCGGTCGGTTTGGAGGGTCGAAATGGGCGTCCGAATCTGGGAGCCCTTCTGGGAGCATCCGAAGGTTTGCTCACCACGCGAAGGTTTCCAGCCAGGTTTCCTCACCTGAACGCATGGGCCAGTCCATGTCCATGCACATCTGTCGGCAGCTCACCTCCTTCGTCTCCTCCTCCGCGGCGCAAGACCGCAGCGCTCGCGGCGCTCCGTCGACGACATCATGGAAGAGCGTGACCGTGGTGACCCCGGTCTTTTCCCAAACTAGTCCAATGACAAGTGCTATATGATTTCAGCATTTAATCCTGCTTCTTCAGAGAAGTGATCTGGCTTTGGAATGAAAGAGGTGTAACCTGTCATAAAGGTCTGCATAGGTCTGCTTCAAGTTCGATCGAAGGACCAACAGGAAATCAGGGAAGATCCGGACACCTGACTCATGCCACCACACATCTCAACCCCGCCCCAACTGGAACCAAGTGCAGATCCAGTTGGTTGTGGAGGCATGATGTAACCTCGTGAGGTCGAGGCTTTTCGCCTCCAAATCTGACACCCAAACGCTCCGTGAAACACGCCCTTTCCTGGTCCCTCCAAAAACATAGGGGATTGGTGAGGAACCCCAGACCCCTGACCAGTTCGGATTCAGGTCCGACCCCTGGCTGCCCGAAGTGAGTCCCACCGGTGCAGGTCCAGTTCTCCCGGATCCTCCGGTGTTTGCGGGAGGTCCGGGCGTCTGCCCAGAAACGAAGCATGCACGCCCACAAATGACATGTCCACAGGTGATCTTAAAACACCATATAATAACTTCGCAGTTTAACATCAACATTACATTAATGTTGGACGATGATTAGTAATAGGGCCCTCTATAATGCTAACTTATTGAACAAATCTTGACACCCTGTGACACCCTGTTTGTTTTAAGGGTCCTCTATTATCATATTTTTGGAGGAGATCCTACTCTTTTATTATCTAAACAATAATTAGGGTTAAGTATATTTCCGATGGAACATATATATATTAATAATTACTACTAAGCCAATGGTTGGCTTGCTGAGAGTATTGATACAATTTGATAAGTATAGGTTTCTCAAGTTCTTCTTCAAAACTCACAGCTTTCCAAAGCCATCAATTCCTTAATCAATCCTTTATGTAGTAGTAGTATGAAAGGATTGCCCTTTACTAATCAAGATCCAACGATTAACGTTTAACAGTTGACCATTTAAGGACACAAGATCAAAACAACACGGCCAGGGGTCGTCATTCCTCCCACATGGGTACAGCATGGTACAGCTGTACATGTTTTGTAGGATCATGTCCCATTATTCAAGGTGCTAACTTGGATGCCTTACCAGGGGAACTTGGTGGATGGTTGGAGTTGTTGCCGGGGTGGCCACCACGGCGCCGCATCGATACGGACTGGCAGAGGAAGTTCACGGATGCGATGCGTGGGTTGTTTGCTGCATGGTTGGTTGTTTGTGGAAAGGATCACCAACACATCAAGCCAATCAAAGCAACATCAAAAGACAAGGGGCCGACCCGAACGAACTGAGAGTTCGTACCTCGGTTCTTTGGGCTCTCAGAGGTGGTCCGGCCATCGCTAGTAGGGTGGAGGCCATCGCTACTAGGGTCGCTACTAGGCCATCGCGGTGGAGGCCATCACTACTAGGGTCCACCCGGGTAGAAAACATCAGAAAACACGGGTTTTGTGGAAGCGCAGCGCAACTGCAGCCTGGGCGAGACGGCTCCTCGTCGAGGCTGTACATGTTCACCAGGTTCATGCTGCTCCCAGTGCTGCTGTTGTGAAGCGCTTTCAAACCATGGAAGGACTGCAAGTTGCTCCTGGGGCGGGGGCGCAATGCCCCTGGGGCGGAAATCGTCGTCCTCCGCCTCTGTGGCATTTCTATGGTGATTGGTGTTCCACTGTCAAACCCCTCATCAGCATCAGGATGTATATACACAGCTTTGATCTGGCCGTATGTTCAGCCCAAACAGCCATCTAAAAGAACGTATGTGAATGTCGGTACGGGACCCGACCCTGGCACTCCCTACACCTCCAAATACCGAAGGTCTTTGGACCCTCGGAACATCTCCGAACCCACCCCCAGTCCCACCAAACCTCAGCTTCGGTACCACTGGAGGCCTAGTTCGGGACGGTCGATCAGTTCAACACATCACCGAACCGGGCGGACGGACCGTGATGGGACGGAACCGGGCGGACGGGCACGGCTTTCGGGTGCCAAGGAACTCTTTGCGTCCGCTTTCGGAGGGGAAGTCCCCATCCTGCGGATTCGATCGCACCGCGGAGTTGTGGTGGATGGACCCCCCCCCGCATCTGTATACCATCCAATAGCCATGCTTTGGATGGTGGTGGTGGTGGTGGTGGTGGTGGTACAAGAGTTTCTGTTTGTAGGTCCCTCCTTCAGTATACCATGGGGACCCGGATCCAAACATCACCCCCGGCCCGCATCCGAGAAGTGTGTGAGTGCGGCTCACGGCCAACATCACCCCCTTGTTGTTCCAATACCTAGCGCTTCCGTTACAGGTCAATGGAGACCTATAGTGTAGGGGTGACCCCTTGGAAGCAGCAGGTGCGCAGAAATTCTGTTCATGTGTAGGTCGAGCTGCGCCAAGACCTGGGAGAACATCCACTAGAAGATCTAGAATAAGGGATGCTTGTAATCCGCACTAAACCATCCGATGATGGTTTTGTGTCCAAACACATCGAGAAGAGATCAGTCACTCGCCAGGTCGACTCGCCTTATTGCGCAGTTGCTTGGAGCCGCAGGCACTCTCCGCCTCGGCATGATGAGGCGTCTCCGCCTGACCGTCCAAGAAGAAGAGCTGAAAGCGTGAGAGCCAATCCTCCTGAGGCCATGACGAAAGCCAATGACGAGAGCCAAACGACATATATAGTGGTCCCCGAATAGATAGACATAAATTTTGAGTGGGGATCTACTTTTCTATCACACTTTGACTCACTAACATGGAAGTTCACACCCTGTTTGTAGAGGAGTTCGTAGTCTTCCCGTGTCCCTGTAGATATCCACGTAACCATGTGATGTGTTCGTCAGAGTGAGTCTGCCCTTTTGGTTGGCTGGAAGGTCCTTCAGACCCTGGATGGTGCTGTTCTGCTCCCATGTTCTGCCTGGACTTCGGACGTATAATTGACCAATCAAAGCTCAAGGACGACCTCACTGTCCTGTGAAGTGCTTGGACCACGAAGTCGCTCAACCACCCCCCAAGATTGTAACATTGTACATACCTTATACATCTATAGCATCATATAGCCAAATGATGCCAGTGTGTGGGAATTGTGAAATGGGTTCAGCATGGAGCTTTGACACGAGATCTCGGCTTCGCTGCTCGTTCTTCTCAGCCCCTGGAGGAGAAAAAAACAACCCAAGTGGATCCAAAAGTCCTTTCAAAGTAGTTCCTAGGTGCGCTGAGTACCTGGGGCATATCCTATTTAAACAAAACAAACACACACACACAATATGTATAGTTCAGTTGAAACTACGTTACACTTGACATATATACACACACAGAGCTCTTGTTAGGTGTTGCTTGTCAAACATGATTTTGTGTATCAATGACATCATGAACCCTTCTTCATGAGGCCTCCGTCAAAGATAAAGCATTGCAATTCTATTGTTCAAGGTCAAAGTAGCCATGCAACACGGCACGAGCTTCCAGTGTTGCTACAATTTCCATCATTAAGGCCCCTGTCCATCCCTGTCCCACTAGCGACAACCCACGTCCTACATCCTCCCTGGCCCGGAAAAACGCTGGGCTTCAACCCATCAGGCCGCCCTGGCTGCATCCCGAGCCACCAAGAGGTCGAAGAGCTTTTGGTCGCTCTCCTGCGCAGGTTCGAGACCTTCTCGGACGAACAGGTTGTTCTTGGTAAGTCGGCTGGGGAGACATCCATGCATTTTTCACCCCCCCAAAGAAGGAGACCTGCCAGAACAAACACGTGTCCGAGCAGAGAACGAGCTGTTCCAGGTGCTTCGTCATCGTTTCCGGTGCGTCGTCGTCTTCCTCGTCCGCGCCGGAGAACTGCGAATCGCACCGAACACCGCAGAAGCCGCACTCTGAACCCTCCAAGTCCTGCAAAAGATAAAACACGAGTCTTGGCCATGATGCCAGTTCCATGCGGAGTTGACATGGTCCAAGGTCCATTATAAATCTATAACGTCCCAAAGGTACTCAAAGACTATCAAAGACTCCCTCTACCATCCTCACTGCCAGGTCTCCTCAATCGAGGCTTGGGAAGGGCCCGAATACAGGTGAACCTATTGGTGACCTGCTGGATGGTATGAAGTCGTATGAAACGTCATCATCCTGCGTCCGATCGCGTTGAAACCGTCCGGTCCTGCAAGAATTGGTCGATGGATCCGGTTTCTTTGTACCGGGCGACCGCCAGGTCGTTGATCGACTGCGTTGGCTTGGCGGTGGAGGTATCTGCAGGCCACGCGGCCTGATTCTTGGTTGAAACAATCTGCATCATCTCAAAGCATTCCCCCAACTTCAAGCACCTTAGAACATGATCCTACCCTGGGCTCCAACTACCTCCTGAGAAAGTGGTTGGGGTGGGTTTGGGGGGGTCTAACCACCTTCTGAGGATATGGTTTGAGCCCTAGGGATTTGTGGGGCCCTACAGTGCTCAATGTGTTCTCGTGTTTTCTATCAAAACAACAAGTTCCTTCTTGTCGTCAGGCTGAACTGCTTGGTAACATATTGTTGGCTTTCCATTGCCAATCATTGATCCTTCAACTGGGAATATAGGAGTTTCACTCTACATCTCGGTCGATGTCAACACCACCGAGTTTTTGGCCCCCCAATTGTGTCCGAACTGTTGGATGTCAGGGCCACTTACAATTCTTCAGGTATGCGTTTTCTTCAAAGAGGACTTTCCTCGGAAACCTTGTCCAATCTTGCTTAAACTGATGACTCTGCCTCTGTTTAACGAGAAAACACAAATACCTTTGTCTTTGCTGAGTCTACCTCCAATCCATTTCGATTTTCTTCTGTTCACCAGCCCAAAATGGTGTACCGTACAACAGTGGGTTGCGTTGACACGTTCTGGAACCAACACACTGGCTAGACGCTAGACTCTTAAACACAGATGATCAACATGAGGGCAGTGTGTTGGAACCTGTGAATCAAAGCTGGGTAAAAGGCCCTTAAAACACACACACAAAAGTATCTTGCTCTATCTCAAAGAACGTCAGAGAACTACTCAACTCCAGCCGTTCCCCCGCTACGTGAAGCCCAATCCGATGTCATCACTGTTTTAGTTAATCCGGACATCGTGAAGAACATGATGATGTTTGGGCGTGCGAAACATGACGCCACCAGTCGGGAGGATTTGGGGAGGCATGGCCCAACAGCTGACTCTCGGGTCTCGAGCCATTTCCCTGGAAAACAATGGACACACGCAGCAGTGCACCTGTCTCACGGTGGGAACGTCCACAAGGCCACCGCCACCGACCCAAACCTGGTGTTCTCCCGCTTCCGTCGTCCTTTTTTTCTGTGTCCAGTTACCCAACAGGACTCACATCACCACACCTGACCATTGGTCTTGTTCGATGGCGAGTCCTGTCGCGGTCGTGAGCTGAGTGCCGTCACCAAACGTATGGACCTGCTGGGCAAGAGCTTAATGGGATGAACAGGGATCATGGGTTAAACACAAGCATGATGATCATGCAAAGTCCCTGCTGGGTAAATAGGAGTTCTGAAAACCCGGCAGCCTCAGGCACATCATTTCCGAAAGTTCCTGACACAGCGGGAAACTTTGCAGAGCTGTAGAAAATTGCAGAGGTTCAAGGCACAAAGTAAGTGGACTGAGTCAACATGCCAAATGTTGTGCAACCCAAACACCATTAAACATCCAGGCGCCGGACTCGTGTCCTTTTTTGGAAACCACGCTTTGTGCTCTCCGTCCACGGCATTGTCCAGCAACACCTGCACATACAAACACACTCATCGCATTGATTTCAGCAGAGCTCAAGCATCGGTGGGCACTCGATTGATCGAGCGAACGATCCAAACAATTGAACAGAACATTGCTGGAGTTCCATGTATGGATGGTTTTTAGTGGGTATGGAAAACAAACATCCCATCAAACACGCGGTCTTAACTCTCACCGTAAGAACCCCTATCGTGGTCACTCTGTTTGGGGAAAAAACATCCTGCATGGAGGATGTCCTTTGACAAAAAAGACATCCTCTGGCCATTTGGAGTGTTCAACCCTGCAGCCACCTGGAACCGGAATCTGTTCGCCTGGCCCTGCCTCAGAATTTGCAGATTAATCTCACCGTCAGCTGACCCAGAAGACTCCCTCAACTGCTGAGAGGTTGAAATTCGGAGAGGTGTTTCAGAAGACCTCTTCCGTCCACAAAATATGGACTCAAGGTCGACTTGTAAATAGTGTGTCAAATGCGACCAAACCAAGCATAACAAGCTTCCCTCCGCACGCAAAGGATTGTGTCCCCTCCCCCGAAAAACGAAGGTGATTATCATCATGGAGTGGTCGCCCTCAGCCAATCGGGTGAAACCCCGAACTCGCGTTCCACCGGCGACCATGCAGGACTGGCCTGAAGGCGATTGAGCCAGTCCTGCATGTGCGCCTTAGTGTGCACACATGAATGGGGAAACAATGGAGGCCCAGGGTGGGGTCTTTGCGTTCCAGAGGTGCAGGATCAAAACCTCTCCGGGAAAGAAAATTCCTGGGCAACGCAAGTCCGGATCATGTCCTCCTTGATTTCCTCAAAGCCATGGATGCCCTTGTTCCATGGCTGATGAATCGACCTGCAAACTGAGTGCATACCTGTTCAGATCCTTGGAGTCTTACATCAACACGCTGGGCACAAGAGCATGTCTCGATCCTCAAGACCGATCCTCACACACGATCGTGACCATGTCCTGCCATTCAGCTCCAACCGATCTGACGATGCCACAAACGCCAAGCAGCATGACGACGGCGCTCGCAATGACGTGGCGCTCAACGCACTTCCAGGATGATGCGTTGCACAGAATCTTCCTGTGATGATGTGGTACCATTTGTCCACTCCAGTGTCGTGGTACCATGCTGCTGCAACATAGTCCCAGCTGACAGTTTTATGAATCAAAGTTCTCCCATCCGTGCCAATCCTGGCTCCGGACGAGCGTCATGGATCGGCACGTGGAGAACTATGTTCAGCAGCTCTGAGTGCACTTGTTTCCGACAAACGTTCATTGTGAGCAGGAGTCCGATGGCAGGTAGGCATTGAACATCAATGTGCCTCTGTTTCCCTTGGTACCTCCTGTGATAATGCCCTTGCGATCCCGTGCGCATAATCTATATGTAAAATGCTCCAGGCATGTAGAATGAAAGCATCCTCCCAACCTCGATACGATTGCAATCGCTGATAGCAGGTGCGAAGTCCATTCTGCGTAGAACTCGACGTCTTGCAGCTTCTCATCTGAATGATCGACATTCCGTCTTCCATGAGCGGTCGCGGCCTGCATAGCTACAGGGTGGACGAAGCCAGCACAGATTGGCTTTTGCCAAGCAGTCCTGGTGACATTCATCCGCAGGCAATCTCTGATTCATCATGAAGGTCGGCTTTCTTCATTCTCAGCGCGAGGGTCTGGAAACGAATCTTCCGTCCAATGCACTTGCTCTGCCACATGGCTTTGAAACTGCTAACCTTGAAGAACACCAAACCGCTCAACATTGTTCCAGTCCCACCCCGCCCAAAAACAACACACACATACAAAAGACAACAAACACATTCAAAAGCGAACAACTATATACAATCATGACTCAATAAGTGTTTTGGTCATATTCCGCTGGTTTAGTGGCTTCGTTCCACTATCGAAATTCCTCAGTTCATGCAAAACTCCTGTGGTAGGATAATCCAGCCAAACCAGCGAAGCCCCACATTAGTCTATTATCCGACAAATACAGTATTCAGTGGGTGCGGGATGGTGCGTGTGGGTACCCAGTTCCAAAACATCCCAAAACCATGGGATTAGCATGTTCCAATTCCGGGAAAATGAAGGTCCAGCTCAACTCGGGACCCTAGTACAAGTGTTCCCAGAGTTTCTCACTTACATTTTACCTCTATTTCGGCAGGGTCGAAACAAACCTTCCCCAAACTCCCGTCATAATCCGGTGGCAGTCGCAATTGACCGAAAGCTTCCATGCGCCCACGCGACAGCGTGGCGTAACGGACCGAACTCGGAAAGCGCCGGGACGACGTGCGACTCTCCAAGGGGCAAAGAGCTCTGCGTCCCGCTGCTGCAGCCAGTCCTCGGTTTTAGGGCGAAGTAGGGCGAAGTGAAGGGATGAGAAGTGGGGTTTCCGTTGGAGATACAAGTTGGGGTGCATCTTTCCTACCAATCCTAAAAAATATAACATCAAAGGTCAGTAAGATCAGTAAGTCAGTTGGTGGCACTTACAGTGGATTCCGACTTTGAGATCGAAACGAGAGTGACCAGTGGATCTCGTTGGAGGAATCCTGTCCCAAATCCGAAAAGAAAGGTACACACGACAACCCTCCTGGCAGTCACACCTGGCCCACCGAATTGAAATGAATGAAGGTAGGCCAGGAGCCTGAGGGAATAATCGACTTACCAGCCCACACCAGCCCTCAGGATTCACGTCCTCTCTAGAAGGAGGCTGAGAAGGTCTTTTGTAAATCTTTCAGGTGGGTGAGTAAACGGTTCACCTTCAACTTCGAAGGTATGTGGATACCGGCCAGAAACATATTGCAAACGCCAGCATTGACTCTATAACCCCATACCACGCCGTAGGTTGCGAGCTAGTTTGGTCTTGACATGTTTTGTCTTGACATGTGTTCAGTTTACTGGGCTCCGGTGGGGGGCAAAATGAACCCATTTCGCAACAACGTCTGGCCGAATGGCCTGTCTTTAAACAATACACACAAATTCGTTGACCCTGGAAAGGTCGCCGCGCAGGACCTCGAAACATATATGCGATGCGCCAGCCACTGGAGTCCTTCCAGCCCCAAACACGCTTAAGAATCTGATCCACATTTGGGTGGTTTTACTAGCGAATGATAAGTCATATTGAATGTCATATTGACCTAGATGGAGCATGTTGGAACAAATCTCTTCAGGTAAACACACGTTTATGCTTGTTAAGTGTGTTCATAAAACACTGTTGAGTCAGCTGCAAATGTTGTGGCAGGTGTGGGACCGTCAATTGTCACACCATTTCAAATTTATCGTAATAAAAGGCTTGACCGGTGTGAAAAATGACCGCCCAGGGTCCCAGGGTCCCAGGTCTCCCAGTGTAGGATTCTAGGGGGTAAGGATTGCAATGATTTTGAGTTTCAGGAAGGGTAACGTTTGTCTGGCCATTGTATCCCGCCCTCAGAACCTGGACCCAGTTTTGGATCCAAACCCCTGCTGGGGAGGGTCCAAGGATAGTGTGGGCTGGTCTCCAGCAGAACTCAATGTGGACATTCATTCCCTACCAACCAAGACTATTTTGCCCACACTCACGTGAGCCAAAGGCTGGGGCGAATGCTAATCGTCGCTCTGTTTGCTGGGGTTGTCTTGGGGGAACAACAGTATATACCCAAACAGCAATTCCACAGTGCGGATTAAAGTTTGACTACCACTGAATCCTAAGGATAATAATATCAAAAAGGTCCAGGTGTCAGTAATTATTGCCTTGAATTATGGTCCATATGGTCATTGGAGTAACGTTTGACTTATTGACCATTGATGACAATCTCTTGGGTTGTCTAACCCTCACCATGACAATCACAATATCTACGCATTTACCAGCACCTTCCAACAGGTCACCTGAAATTTCGACCTCTGGTCTGGCCTAACCTCTGTCTGCCTCCATTTCTATTTCGACCTGTAGAGTGTCGAGTCCAGGTGCTGGTATATCAGTAGGACCGTTGAGTCCAGTCCAAGCGGACCTGGTCCAGTCCCCAGCTCGCTTCAGCGCCATCCGAGTCGCCGCCGTGTCACGACTCTCCATGTCCGGCATGGGCATGGCTGAGGTCCGGTCCGTGCGAAGCAGTGTATACAGGGTGCGAGGTGACCCATGTAAATGCTATAGTAAAACCGGGTCCGGAACATGTCGAGATTCCTGGAGTATTTATAGTTGTATGCTGTGGTTAGATCACCAACTCGGACATGAGGTCACTTTCACTGACCTGTAGGGGATGTTACCTGCACGGGTTCTTTGAGAAGCACATCCTGGGGCGTTCGCTGTCAAGTTCGCTTTGATGGAATTTCAGGGCCTCAAATGCAAGGTCAACGATGCATGGAACCGACTTTTGTCGATCTCAAGAATGAGTTGGCTGCTCCGTGGGACGAATGGCTTCAGCAAATGTTGTTCTTAAATCGTCCCATGCGGCACAACCAAACATGTCCTGCCTTTTCAATAGATTTGGACTAGTTGGATTTGGCATGAGTCATGAGCAGCTCTGATTTCATGCCTCCCACAGCCTGGTGAATGTCCAAACCAGCCAAGAAAAAGGGAGCGCGCGGTTTCTTCGGCCGAACGCGAGCATTGACTCTGAAGAGCAACAAAGATCTCACCAGTCAGTGGTCCAAAGACCCATTATGACAGCTTTGGCACATGTTTGAGTACCAAAAGAATTGGTAAGCCAAGTCTCCCCATGTGTTTGGCCACCCTGTGGAGGATGTTCACCCGAAAGTGGTCGTCAAAGGTTAGTAATCTGCTGACCCTCTTTCGACCTGGATCCAAATACCTTCTGAGAGGTAATGAATTGGACCCTCCAAACCTACATAACAGACCTTCTCAAAGGCTATGTGGATCCATGTGGATACATAGGACACCTACATCTTCAGGTCGTCTTCCGGGCTGTCCATCCATTCAGACTGACCGACCGGAGTTGACCGGAGCGGCTGCCCGAGTCACCAAGTGGTGCCTCGAGTCACCAAGTCTAAAAATACGAAACCAAACCATCCAAAACGTGGGAAAGTTGGTTCAAGATGGTTCAATTATATGCATGATTTGGTGACTGATTTGATTTGGTGATATTTGGCACGTGTCAGTGTTTGTTTGCTGTTTTTTTGCCGTTTTCGACGGGACCGTGGAGACCAGTGACACACGTCTCCTTTAAAAACTGTCAAGATTCATTCGGAGGTATACGATTCTTAAATGTTGAAGGACGATGAAGGACGTAGGGCTTGCTTCTGGTTCAGAAAAGGTCGTGGCTTCCACCATGATTGTTCCACCATGGCCCTGGCCCGGAAAAGAGTAAGAAAAAACAGGTCTACGACCTGGGGCGCCCCAAGGGTTTTCGCTACCAACCGACCTTGGGACCGAGTCGGGCCCGGTCGACCCCCTGGCCTTGGCTTGGGATCGCCTCCAGTCGAGCGAAGCGAAAAGCAACGCAGGAAATCTGACCACGCAAAGGTGGAAAGGCATCCCATCCTGGAAACTAGTGCATCCCAATCCACAGGATTTGAATGGATTTGACCAAATCTATGTGGGTCAGTTTCCCCCTCCCCCTTTTGGCCTCCAAACCTACATTGACCCCGTTTCAACCACTCCAACTGATCGGTCAACATGTCCATGGAGCGGATAGATTTGCTCCATTGCTCACATGAACAAGTGAATCGGTGCCCAGGTCCACGTCCGAGCTGTCTCCACTGTCTCTCGTCCCAGGGGCAGAGTTGCTTCTCCAAAGCCAACCGCTCCTCGCGAGCCTTCTGGAGCCTGTGGGCGATCACCATCGCTGAAGTCAACGCATCTTCCACCGCGAAAGAACGTGTTTTCGGCGGTTTCTGAGCCATGTGGGGAAGGTGTTTTTGGTTGGTGTGTGTGTGTGTGTGTGTGTCAAACCCTGTTTCCAAGGGTCTAATTTAATTTAAAGCAGGGGGACAGAGCTCTCTGATGCTACTCTGTCCAACGAAGCTAGGCTTCAGAGAGGGAAGCATCCACTGGCCATGGATGTGTACCTGCTTTAACGGTTGAACAAGCTGTCCAATTGACCTTGTTTGTTTTCATGGTTCTTCATGATACTCCCCCTAAACCTTCCCACCGCGTTCTTGCAACTGAGCCGCGCGTTTTCGTGAGCGTTTCGTTTTCGTGCTTTCTGCAGACTTCAAACCATTTTGTTCAAACATCTACAAGTTTTGCGGACTCTTCACCTTACTGTTCTTCACCTTCCTTCCCAACGTGGCAATTGAGTTAACTGAAAACCAATGTCAGAGTGTGAGCCGCTCAGTCTTCCCACTTGGGTGCTGGGTGTGACCCTCCGAAAGGAGGCGCCTTACTGACCCTTTGCTTCTTCACTTTCATAACTGAATTTACGTATTTTTGAGCCGCCGGGCCAAAAAACGGACAATCTCAACCACCGACCGGGCTATAAAACGGTAATCCACCCGCAATGAGGCAGGTTTCCCAACCCCCTCCCCCCAGCCGAGTTCTACTCCCTACCTATTTAGGGCAACATAGGGAAATGGTACTCGACACACTTGTGTGTCGGTGCCTTTCCCTGTCTAGTCTATCCTACCCGGGCGGTCTAAGACTAAAGTCCCGCTCCCTAGCTATTGCACTTAATTCATCTCTGCTAAGTAATCAGTAACTCTAGAGTGCTAGGTATTCAGACACACACATGTACACACACATGGACATACAGCCCCTCCCTGCCCCCCCCCCGCTTTCCTTCTTGCGCTTTTCGTCGTTTGTTTGGGCTTTCTTTCAGGCTTTTTAGGTTGCTCTTGAAGCTCGTTTCCCTACCCCAGTCAAGGGCTAAGTATTCACTTTTTCTACACCTACCTTTCTTTCTTGCCCTCTTAGCGCTGCTCTTTCTGTCTTTCTTTTCTTTTTTTCTAAGGCTTTTTAGGTGACTATTCAGGTCTTTCACATGCGCGCCGCGAAGCGGCACCGTGTGTGTGTCAAACCCTGTTTCCAAGGGTCTAATTTAATTTAAAGCAGGGGGACAGAGCTCTCTGACGCTACTCTGTCCAACGAAGCTAGGCATCAGAGAGGGAAGCATCCACTGGCCATGGATGTGTACCTGCTTTAACGGTTGAACAAGCTGTCCAATTGACCTTGTTTGTTTTCATGGTTCTTCATGATACTCCCCCTAAACCTTTCCACCGCGTTCTTGCAACTGAGCCGCGCGTTTTCGTGAGCGTTTCGTTTTCGTGCTTTCTGCAGACTTCAAACCATTTTGTTCAAACATCTACAAGTTTTGCGGACTCTTCACCTTACCGTTCTTCACCTTCCTTCCCAACGTGGCAATTGAGTTAACTGAAAACCAATGTCAGAGTGTGTGTGTGCGCGACCCGACCTCAAGTACATTGGAAGATGGGACATAAAAGCAGGTACTTGTGCACGAGGTACTTTGAGACTCCAGGCAGCTGGTTCTTTTGCCGACGTGCCGTATACTCGGGTCCCTGAGGAAGCAAATCTGCCCAGACCCATGTCCGGACCAATCCAAGGCTTCTAGAATGAAAGGCCTCAAACAAGCCGACATCACCATTATTTCCATTCACCACCAGGATGTTCATCGATTGTCGACGTCAACAGATGTCAGGACAGCATTTTGTTTTACAGGTCACGCTATCACAAGCTGTCCCTAGCTATGATGAGCAGTGATAAGGAAAAAGCAACTATATATAACCACCATCAGAAATCAGAGTTTTCTATAAGGTCTAAATCAGATCTGTATGTCCACTATACAGGCTCGAAAAACATCCAGAAAGCTATCCCAAACCTATAGCCTTCCACGATCATGATTAAGAGAAAGGCTTGACCTTTCTTTTTGGTCGTGTAAAAAAATCATATAATGATTAAAATAAGAAATGGGTTGTTCGGTCTACACCACTCAAACACTTAATGAATCCCATCCCATCAGCCCTCCTCCCCACGATCTACCCCGCCTTTGTTCCAACTCTTCAAGCGATCCCGTCTTCGCCGATGGCTTGGGGTAGAGCCGCGTCTGCGACGCCGAGCACCAGGGTGGAACGGGAGCATGAGGGTGGAAGGTTTACGGCCTCTCACTTTATGCCTATAGAGCCATCTAGAGCCGCTCGATCTTCCAACTGTGCAACATGTCTGCCGCCCTTCATCTATACCAGCCCAAGCGGCATCACCATGTTTCTGATGAAGACTGTTACATGAGAATCTCCCAATCTGGAAACCCAGTAGCACGGAAAACGTCCCCAGGCCCAGCTCCACAGCTCCGGTGTGTGAACTGAACACTCTTTGGCCAAAGGACTCCAGCCTCACCTCCGAAACTCGGTTCGCTGTTGGACCCGGTGACTTCTTGCCGGTCGAGACAAGGGATTTAGCTTGAAAGCGATCACAGAAGTGGAGCTCCAGTTCGGCCATGGTGTACGAGGTGTCTGTTAGTCTGTTTGACTTATAACATGGCTTATGAGTGGGACATATAGAGTTACATCTTAGTAACATATAACTTTCAAAACATAAACACCTTCTTCCAGCACCATCCAGCACCTTCACTTCAGGTCTCCTAGCTGGAAGACCGAGCGCCCACTACGTACATGGATCTCCAGACAGGACACCCCGACATGAAGGTCCAGGTAGGTCGAAGAAATACCTCCAACCCATGGTTCACTGCTGGTTCGTGTGTTTAGCCTTGAAATGCCTTGAAAAAAGGCTGGGAGGGGGAGGGGTACTCCGATTCGGAGACAAAGCTGGCAAGCCCAACTTTCCGCCGCACTAGCTTCTGCGTTAGATACCTTAATGGCTGCCGACAATTGGGACAAGGAGCGCATAGTAACCTTCAGGCACGTTGACTTCCCAATTGATGAGCCATGAAGAATACAGTATGCGTCATGATCCCATGACCCTTCGTCGGCCACCTCGATGTCAACCTCTTCGTCTGACATCAGGTTGCAAAGACTGGGTGTCCCCTAGCAGCACCAGGGTCCCAGGAAAATTAGCTCGGGAGGTTCCGCAAGCGTCCCGAAGGCGGTTCATGGTGCTTGCTTGCATCTGCCAGAGGTTCATGTTCAGGCATGTGATGGCGTGCAATCAAACAATATACAAACACCTTGCGTCCAACCAACGGCTGGCAGCCGTGTTGTGCCCCGTTTGGCCTCTCTCTCCGGTCCGCCTCCACGTAGCTTCGCTGCGCCGAAGGCGTGCGCGGTACGGTACGGCCTCGGGGTAGGGTGGCCGTGCGGTTCGGGTCCATCATAGCTGGATTCTTCGAGGATCTGTCTCTATGGGATTCCATGAGGTACCAGGGCTCACAAGTCGGAAGTATAAGCTTCTTTACAATATGTTACGATTCTCGGGGTGTCCCAAAAACCTGTCTGTAAGGTCCTGGTCATATATGAGGTCATGAAGTTGGGTGGTGTGGCTCTTCCCATCCAGTGAGCGGATGTGACAAGGGTACCATTGGGCACCCCAACCTCCATGATGAGGTCTTGTTTCTTGTTCTGGATCATTTCATTCTGGACCATTTCGAGATTCATTCATTTCTTGAATTCTTTTTGTGTCAGAGATACCAACGCCTTCAAAATGCAGGGACCACACCTCCAGGCGCACGAGTTCATTGTGGTGCATTTCAAAAGCTAGTGGATCTCTACTGCTAGTCCACAGCAAAATGAGAGCGTATAGTAAGGCATCGGGTGGAATGGAAGTTGAGGGTCAAAAGGGGAAGTCTCAGCACTCTCGCGGACTTTGGCTGTTCAAGCCTGTGGGGAGAGAGGATCCACTTCAGGAACGGGCCCATTAGCCTGCAGAATTGGATAGGTGCCGGCTTGCCGATCACGGCACAAGTTCTCAGCAAACGACTTCGATCAATCACTCAAACTTGGTTGACATCTTCAAGGCATACAACTGCTTGATTTAGTAATCAAATCCTTCAAGGATTATACAGTAACTAACTCAATTCGCGGCATTAATCGCATCCTCTCCACTGGGCTATCCCAACGCCTGGGGTTCCAGAAGTCCTGCTACGCAAAGCCAAATCATTGCACACGCAAGCTACCTGGCTTTCGACCTGACCGAGGTTCTACCAAAGTCTTTTGCGCTCCAACCACCCTCACGTTCGGTACTTCTACCCTCCTGGCCCCCGAAACCGCCCAGGAGAAGAACCACCGAACCGAAAACGGAGGTCGTTGGAGCCCGAACGGGATTACACGGTTTGGATGGATTTCGCGGAGGGAGCGAAAGAAACTGTCCAAGGTGAGCGCCTTCTGAGCAAAAGGGTCTTTGAAGAGCATTCAGCAAAGTATATGGTTCACTACTCATGGCCTTGCCATTCTTTCATGCTCTGGCCATGGCGGGACGCTTGATGATGGTCTTCCGGATTCCCATCTCTCCGGGGACAAGTAGATGTATATACCTGGACTCTCAACGAACTTTGTTAAATGGTTGCAGTTGCAGCTGTTTTTAGGGGCATGTCCTATTTTCTAAGGTACTCTGGGTAAAGATACTGTATATTATACATTGAGTGTTTGGGCATTAACATGCCAATTCCATGATCCCATGAATCCAAGTGGGCCCGAAGGAACCTGCTTCCACGGCACCACAAAAAGAACCCCGAACACGCATGGATTTCACATGCGTCCACTGACCTCACTGTTCTTCAATTCTCTCTCTTTGATCCGACCCGGTCCTCCTCCTTCTGGACGTGCCCCTCTTCCACCTCCACGCCAGACGGGCCACGGTTTAGCATTGGGCTTTGCCCCGGCACAGTAACAGTGACCACAAATCATACCACAAAAAAAAGCACAGCAATTTAGCCATAGTTGGCATTAGGATGACTTTCATTTGCCCTTTCTAACGCTGGCTACATTAATCATGTGCTACAAAACCCTCAAGTCAACCCGATGCTTTTTTTCATCTGAGCGCAAGCAGTGAAGAAATGATCGACAATATCGATCCAGTCAAAAAGGCTTGGGGATTCTGCTGCCAGACAAAATGAGCTGGGCTCTGGCAGGCCTGGTAGAAGGGGAGGCAGAGGCCGGGCAGGCCGCCGGAACTGTGGGCCGCCCCGGTGTTCCAGGCCCGGGGG